TTCTCTCAGTACTTTGTAGAACTTCAGTAAATTGCTATACACACTTAAGCTATATCAATTACTTAAACACTTGAAAGCCAAACTGATCAGTATGCCCAAGAAGTCCTATATTGGTTGGAAAGTTTCGGTGGTTTGCTCAGAATGGTTGAAAAGAGATTAACCTCTACATTTGGTCCTTATTGCTCGCCTATGAGGTGTTGATGGCATAGATCTGGCCCACCCAACTGGATTAAGCCCTAGAGAGGAGAAGAAGTAGGAGTAAGTGGTGGTGATGATGCTTTGAGAGCAGGAAAATAGAATTCAAGTGTAGCAGATGGTTTACAGATTTACTGTGGCCTCTTAGAGATTTATAGTCTCAGGCTTTGGTTTTGCTTCATGAGGTTTGTTTTTTGTTTTTGGTTTTTTGGGGGTTTTTTTGCAGGCAGTATTTTCACAAATTTTAAGGTTAACCAGAGAGATATTTAATTTTTCCATGAACTGAAGAAAGCATTTTTTATTTCAATAGTACTGAGAACTCTGTGTGTGGTGTTTATAAAAGCTTTTCTCATCTAGCTACTTTTGACAGTCCTGTTGTACTTTCCCATTGCTTCTTCATATGTTTTTGGGACTCTATTTCTATGGGCGCAAAAGCACACGGTAGATAATTGGGTGGTAGAGGAAGAGATTTGCATGCACGTGTATGTGTATCATAAAATAATTAAAGAACCTGTTCATCTGTTTTCATTTATCTTTACTAAAAGCATAAACTATCAACTGTCAAACCATTGTTATTTGCTCATTGTAATGAACATCTTGCAGATTAATTCTATTTAGTCTCTACTACGTACCAGGCTTTGGGGTAAATAAAACTTGGAGTGCATAATGAGCAAGACAGACATAATTTCTTTCTTAATAAAGTCTTTCATTTAAGAACTTATGTTTAAAAGTGAAAGTCTTTCACATAGTTATTAATATTAATAATTTATTAATAATTTGAAGAAAATAAATTGATAAATTCTTAATAATCGAAAATGTCTATGTGCAGTCCTATGTTTCCAGCGTAATATCAGAGCATTTTTTATTATGGAATTTGCATCTAATCAGTTTTTAAAAAGTAAAAGTAAAATGTTTAACCAACAAAACATAACTATGTAGTTTTAGGAACTGAGCAAATGAGCCTGTGGTAGTGAGGTTTATTTCATATTACGATATTTTTTCTATGAAAAATATAAAAGTAAAATTTAGTTATTATGATTATAAGTCATTACTTTTTTTAAAAGAAACTAGTATTGCTTTGACTTGAACTAATTTTACTCACATTAGGTTTCTCCTCCAACTTTTGATCCCATTTACGTTCTGTGAATACAAGATGAGAGGTAGTGCTTAATGTCAAGTAGCTGGAGGATTTATCCATCAAGTAAAAACTGGTAACAGATCTTTGTTTCTGAACAATAACACATGATATACCATGCGGAGGGTCTGAAAAATAGAAGGGTTCACTCTTAACTCTTAGCTTTTATCAATTTCATAGCCTTTTTAAAATCAGGGATGCCTAACCATTCCATGCACTTCACTCTGGTAAAGGAGTATACATACAAGAATTTTGGAAAGAAATTACGAGCTGTTGATTTCTAAAGAACTCCATTTCTACACTGTCCTCCTCTCTGACATCAATTTCTTCAGCGTCAAAAAAAAAATCTTGTTTAACCCATGAATAAAATGAGGTGGTATGCTTCTCAAAGCTGCCCAAACAACAGAAAACTTCCAGCAAGTGAAGATTGTGTGTTTTTAGCACTCTTGTTCTTTACTACTCAGCTCTCAGAAATTCCAGAAATAGAAATATCAAGGATCATATCTGCCAGAGAATGTTATTTTAATCTTAAGCATATTTGGGGAAATGTTTGGAAGTAAGAGGTCCCTGGCAACTAGAACTTCTAGACATGAGCCACAGTTGCCAGAGAATGTGGAAAGGAGGGCTTCTTTCCATAGTAGTGTGCCTTCTGAGAATAGCCTACGAGAAGATGGCAGCCTGGCTTGGAAACTCCAGAAGGAGGGGAATTGTAAATACGGAAAAGAAGTGGAAAGAGGGTGAATAAATATCATCCCTTAGGACAAAAAGTACAAAATAGAGGAAAAGTGGTCCAGTGTCACTAGATGAAAGAGAAACATGGAACTTAGGATAACATAAAGACAGTTGTGACATTTTTCAAATACAGCAATATAAATAATTCAAGCTATTCATAATTTCTTTCCAAGTATGAGAGGATAAATAAAAATTGGTCAAGTTTTCCTAATTTATTTAGTAATAGATAGAGCCATCTTTGCTAGATCCATGACTTAAAATTGGCTTAAAGCAAGACTAAGTTCAGCAACTGCCAGCATTTTTGTCCTTTAAAAGATTAATCATTCTCTAACTCTTCAAAATTGTAGCTAGGCTAAAGAAAACTTTATATTACAATGTAATGGTTTACTCTCAGAATTTTTGCATATTTTAACTCATCATATTCTTTTAGTTTTGAAGATTTTGCAAAGCAGATTCACCTTCACACGTTAAAATGTATTTTTCTGCCTCTTCAGTATGTAATTTAATATAAACTGTCCTGTCTGCTTATTAGAGTGTGTCACAAGGTCTGAGATGATCTTTCTTACAGCTTCAGCTAGCACTGGTTCAAATCATTACATTGTCACTGAATTACAAGTAATCCCAATGAGTAAATTTTCTCATGAGTTCCTGCCTTTTTAGTTTATTGCTATACAGCCATTTTGAATGGACAAGGAAAGTAACATCTACTTCACAACAATTCATGCTTTCTCTCTGCCTCTTATTACCATAGTGACAGCTCTTTGTGCAGAAAGAGAACATTTTTATTTTAATGCTCTTTTTACTTGCAGATACAATTTTTATGAAAGTTATCCCTGTTTTAAAACCAACCTCTCCCCTTTTTTAAGGTCACTCTGCTTTTTTTAATTTCATGTAGAATATTTAATCTTTAAATCTGCTTAGATTATAGAGGGCCCATGGCTTGATAGAGGAACATAAAAAGAAAACTGCCTTTTAATAAAGTAGCAGAAGGGAATAGTGCAAGAGGAAGAATACTGGTCTTAACTCTGTCATTCTTGGCCCTGTGAATTGAAGGAAAAATATGCCGAACTTGACAATCCCAGTATGTGACCACTGGCAAATTACCATTGTGAATCTCAACTGCATTATCTAGAAAGTAGAGAAAACACTCCATTATCAATAAAGTGAGAATAAAGTCTACCTCACCTCTTTCTCAAGGATATTAAGAGAGTTTAATAAGCTTATATATGAGAAAGTGCTGTGCAAACTGTAAAATGCTGTCCAAATGTAAGATAGCATGATGATAACTTTTACTAAGTAGAAAAACTACGTAGTAAATGGAGCAAAGAGCCTCAGTGTGGCTGCCGTTTACTTTTTTGGAAATCTCTCCCCAAACTGCCATCTGACTTCATTCATGTTTATATTCTTTGAAGCTCTTTGATATAGAGTTGGCACTACTTCATTGTAAATATATAGCACTATGCTCACATCAGCCTAGAAGCCAGTGTCAGGGCTTGCTTGTATAAAGACCTGTAGTTCAGGGAAAAAGGGACTAGAGACAAGTCTCAATGACTGCTTGCACTATCACGTCAAGACCAGGAGCCTACAGCCAAAACTTACAAGCAACCACATAAAACTGTCCTCCTTCAGCCAGCATTAAAATACGTTATGAAATCTCTTAATCAAAATTAACATCTTCTCTGTTGTTTTACTTTTTCTTTTAAAGCAACTTATGATGTTTTCTCAAGTCCTACAACATCAGACGAGCCTGAAATATCAGAGCCACACACAGGTATACCCAGCCTCTCAAGTCTTTCTTTGGATTCCAGGTGTTCCGACAATACTGCGCCTCGTTTTCCCCTTAATTTTTGCTGATTGAAAAAGAAAAAGTGCTCTCTGGAGCTCTGCAGGAAAGAAATACCAATCTGTCAGGGAGAGGAATTCTACCACTCCTCTCATTGAGTGATTATTTCCTTACATCTACTAGTAAATAAGCTCAGCCACATGTGGGAGATAAAGATCGATTTGGTTGTCACTGAGGCAAAGTAATGTAACGAGCTATCGCTCTATTGTTCAGAATTATTCTAGAAAGGTTTTAGAATCCTTGAAAGTTTTCTCTAGAGCAGTGGTTCTCAAGTGGGCGTGATTTCGCAATCTTCTCCCCCGCTCCACCTTGGGGCATTCGGGCAATGTTTTGAGACATTTTCAGTTGTCACGACTGGGGGAGGTGCTACTGACATCTAGTGAGTAGAGGCTAGGGTGCCTCTCAACCCCTACAAGGCACAGGATAGGCTCCCACAGCAAAGAATTATCCAGCCCTAAATGTCAATAGTGTTAAAGTGAAAAACCCTGCTCTAGAGCAATCATGTCATTCATTTGGTCTATAGACGTTCAGTTAGGTCTAAGTTTTGGCATTCACTTACTAATCCAGCTATAGTGAGTTTAACTCCATCTGATAGTTCTTTTAGAAATTGTTTATTAAGCACCTACTAAACTTGATACTGTAGAAGACTCAAAGTAAGACAGGTCTCTTCCAGACATACTTATATGTTTGATATTTTTTGTATGTGTAGCTTTATCTCAGTATTATTTGTGTCATGATAAATAAAAGCAAATAATTTTAAAAAGCAGAAAATAAGAAAAAAAATAAAATAGACTGCTAAGGGTGGATTCCATTAGTAGTTAGGAAACAGAAGAAGCTAGAAAAACCAACTGAAAATCAGTTGAATTAATGAGGCACTGTTTTATCATGATTTCTAATGTTTAAAGTATATATGTTTTTCCTTAAGTGAACTCATCTTCAGCTTCTAATGAATCACTCATTTAAAAATGTTCAGCAATCTTTCAAGTGTTCTTGATATTTTTCCCCCACATGAGGCATAATTTATTACTCATGAGTTTGTATTTTATTCCTGGGGACTTCTACTGCTTTTATAAATGTTGACATTTATTCCAACAGCAACAAGTGATCCATTTCTGGAGTCTGTCCCACCTAAAACTTCTAGAACTCTTGAACGGCCAAGGGCAACACTGGGTAATGTTTTTAACAGAAAAATCATTCTTTGTTTTAACAGAAAATTCATGTGAATGCCTGTCTTCCAAATGACCGTTTCATTCCATCACATCTAATCATTTATTTCTTTCCTCTTGCTGAATACAAACACACACACGCTTTTTTTTTTTTTTCATATAATGCAGACATCTTATGTTTCATCTGGGGTTCTTTTTTTCTTTAAACTGTAATAGATTATATATTTTTCCATCCTTAAAGAAATGAAAGGCTTTAGAAACTGCATGAACATTTTCATCATTCATATCATCCCATCTCATGTGTTTGTGGCCTGTATCACCTCTTTCATGCCTTGAGTTTGCTAGAGTCAACTACTAAACAATTATCATTCTCACCTTTTCCTTATTTTACATCATTATTTTACCCATCAGCTTTCCAGATTACATACATTCGTCATCCTTAATCACGTATTTGTAGCGTGTGCTTTGTAACACCATCTAAAAGCATGTTAAAACTCTTAAAATACCTCATTTTAACTGGAATTACTTGGTGGGATGGGGTGTTTGTGTTCTCAGCTCCAAGTGAAGCACCATTTGTTCCTCAAAAACTGGACATCATTACCAGTCCTGAAATGCAACCTACAACACCTGGTAACTAATGATATTTGCATAGCTGTGTGCTTTAAAAGAATAGATAAAATGTATAAAAAGAATCAGTTATGTTGGCCTTTTCAGAATATTTTCAGTAGTAAACATTTCCCTTTGTTCTCTACCATGAAATTTTTCAAAGAACTGGGTTAACTATTATACTTAGCCTTGTGATTATTTTCAAAGAATTCTCATAATTTTGATGTCCATATATATTTTGAATGATTATTTTTTTGCTATACTCCTTTCGAATTTACCAGCCAGAAAATAGCAGAATTATAGATGATAATTATTTTAAAATACATTCCCTTCTATTTAGCACATTTAGATACCATATCGTGAGAGTATTTTTCTAAAGTAGTCTAAATATAAAGAGCACCAACTGGACTTTACAGTCCTAAATGTAATGAAGAAAAATGGGTAAAAGAAAGGTAACATAAATTAAATTTATAATAGAAAATTATTGGAGTAATGAAGTTTATTAACTCATGGTGAGGTTAGTAATACGCTCCAGGATTAAAGAAGTTCTGAACTTTTCATTCTCTAAATCCCAAATATTTTACTTGTACTTCTCTCCTGCTATTTGGGAAATCATCTTTTGAGTTCTTAATTGTTTCATGTGTTCTTAAATTCCTCAGTGGTGCTTACTTTGCAGTGCATTTAATCGAACAATGTATTTTCAATTCTCATATAGACATCTAATTTTTTTGGCCTGATCAACATTTATTTATTGAGCATCTAGTGTAAATAAAGCACAGTGCTAGGCATTCTAGGGATACAAATAAATAGAAAGCAGTTCTTGCACTCAAGAGGTTTATAAGTTTACATTTACAACCTGATTGATCCCTGAGAAATATTTATGAAAACTATTTTAAATCTTATTTCAGCTCCTCTACAAACTACATCTATCCCTTCCACACCTAAACGACGCCTCAAGCCCAAAACACAAAGAATCAAACCTGGTAAATAAATGTCTCTTTAAACTTTCAGGATGCTTAATTCCAAATAGATAATATCCATCTTCTTACTATAAAAAGAAGTGATATGATTCCATAGGTTGAAGTTTCTTTATAAAATTTGAAATTAACTAAAAATGAATAATTAATAATACAAAATAACAATCATTTCTAATAAGATTTTATTGAAAGTGATGTAAGCGATGTTCTTACACATGAATTTTGATATAAATCTAGAAACAAGTCCTGCTATCACAGCATGATAGAATGAGAAATATAATTTATATTTTTGGTATGCCATCTACATTTAAATGTTTATTCTTGTTTTTTGGTGCTTACTATGTTTTCAGTTTTGCCCAAGGGCAATGGCTGAGATGGAGAGAACATGACTCATTATTAGCTTTTCAATTGCTAATAATCTTAAAAAGATAGTACATCATAAACAATGAGAGAGCATAAGATTATATAATCCACTTGTGAGTCTATAATACTTATGTAGAAGGTCATAAAGAAAAGTAAGCATTGAGGATGCAAACTTCAAAATAGATGCAGTATTTGGACAGAGGAAAAAGGAGAGGAGAACAATGTATTTTAAGGCACAGGGTTGGGTGATAGAGGTAGCCTATCAATCTGGAAGTGATGAGCATCATTGTCAAATAATATTCTCAGAATCATACTCAACAAGCTGGGTTTTGCTTATTCTGTTGCAGTATTTTTTAAAAGTTTTTTCTCATCTATAATATTATGACTGAGTTTGAAAATTCTTTCCCCAAACTGTTAACTAATTGCCTACTTTGTAAACACTGACTACTAAATATGGCAGGCTTTTATAAAGGTCATTCAGTTCTTCTTTGGAGGATATCTCTTCATTGTCTCTAGGATATAGTAATATTTCTTTTTCCTTTCCATCACCAGGAAGAACCAAAAGTCCTGGAACTACTACATCTAAAATTTTTAAAAGTCCTGAACCTACATGGACAACACTGGGTAATGATATGTCTTTAGTAGATGTATTTACTTCATTTAATCATGGAAAATCCAGTACCTCAGCTTTCATGTAATGTCTAAGTCACTATTCTAATTGGCTCATTCATCAATACTGAATGTCTTATTCAGTACATCAACTCTGTGGCTTTCATGGTTTTGAATATCTGACCCTTTAGTTAATGGATCCGAACTCAGCATTGGACAACATCCTGTGGACAACAGCCTTGGAAAGATGCTAAACCACTGCTTCTTTCTCATTTTCTATCCAATCATTATATTCAAAGTTGGGTCTTATACATATCTCTCCATTTGTTTTTTTGCATAGCTCTCCCTCAAGTTCAACTTCAGACGTTATATCAAAAAATAACTTTCTATTACGGTGTTAGCAGAATTTCTTTATGCTGCAGATCATAGCATTATACCTACCAATGAATATTATTTTTAAAACAGGTTTTTTTCTGGTGCTTAAAAACTTAGATGTAGCTGAGAAATATGAAATAAGGGTGTAAATGATTACACTGGTGTTTTTAAAGCATAGATTAAAATCACTGTATAGTTTTTATAGTTATATAGTGGTAATGCTATTCCTGTTAAGTCAAATATACTCTAGCAATGTTTTCATAAACCAGATGAAAATTTATCACTGTATTTCCATTAAATGTTTCTCTGTGAAATATTCTTTTAATGAACTCTTTCCAAAATCTTCCAAGATGATGTGTTCATTTCACTTAAAGTATAGGTTTCCCTTTTGTGGTTTTAGACACTGAAATGCCTACATATTAATTTCTTGATTATTTTGTTTCTTTTTTCAGCTCCCAGTAAAACACAATTTATTTCTTTGAAACCAAAAGTCTCTCTCAGCCCAGAAGTGACACACATCAAACCTGGTAACTACCCTGAACTTTTTTTAATATTCCAAGACTAGGGTTGAAAAATTGTTTTATACCACTCTTCAGAGCAAGAATTTCTGATTTATATTTTAATATTTAATGCATTTTTCCATGAAAAGTGCAAAATGTTTTGAAATGGTTTCATAACCAGCCTTTCTGATATTTTTGCAGCATTGCTCTGAGCTGTGTGTGTAGAGGATCATTATGTTCATGACCATCACAGAAAAAACACAGAAAACGAACAATGTGAACGATTGAGGACTCCCTTGTCTAGGACTAGGAAATAGTTTCCAGTACCAAAGTTGACTGGAATTCTGATCACACTGAGCAATCACCCTTCATCTGGAAAAGGGAGAAATGTTTCCGTCCCTTAAGAGCTCTGCCTTGTTTGGAGCTTCTCAGTCCTCAGGCTGTAAGACTAGAAAGGATTGTATCTCCCTGGTGCTCCATGATTTCTTTCTAAATAAGGGCTGATTTCTGACAAATGGCTTTTGTTTACATCTCAGGATATATTAATGGTGTTTTGCTCTTTTGCAGAGAGGGGTTACTCTGTGTAATTAAAAACAGAAAATTCCCTTTATAAGGATTACGAGACATATTGAATAACCAAATCTTTGTGTTTTCTATCCAGAATCTATACAGCAATAGTTTAAATGTTGACTTACAAGATTGTATATGGAAACTCTGTCACTATTCGTCATTTCCATCTAAATTTTAAACCCTTAGTTCTGAGAAAAATATATTTCTCACTATGATGTGCAATGGATTTTTCATTAATGCATGTTTACAAAGTAGGATTATTAAAGCAAGAGAGGTACTGCTTAAGTGGGCATGATTTATTTTTTGCAATTAAATGGGTAATGAAGAAAAACTGCTCAGAAAAAAAATCTCATAACTCCCTTTAAAGAGAAAGTGATATTTCCAGGTGTAGGTATCACACTGAAGGAAATTAAGGATTAGGCAAAAGGAGTGTAGTTGACATTGACCATTAGTGAGGTCTCCAAGACAGAGAAATGGAATGAAGTAGTCTTATTCAGAGAGGTTATCTGGAGAAAGAAGCATAGCTGATAAAATTCAAGAGCCCTACAAGTTTAAATCAACGCTGACATCCATATGGGCATTTATTTAAAAATCATGCGTAGAGGACTTTGGAATAAAGTCGTAACTATTATATTTATGATGTATTTTGAATACAGGGTTATTACCAACCAGATTGAGAAATATTACTATATGTTTGAGTTACTGAATTTAATATTTCTCCAATCTAATTATTTCTGTTATTACAAGATAAAATTTAAAACATCAAAAAATGTCTCCAAATGTTCATTATAATTTATACAAGATAAGTTACATTATTAATTTCAGCAGTTTCTAAAAAGGTTTCTAAGAGGAAATTCATTAATACAAATAAGAGTGAAGGGTATATTATTATTCTAAGGTGTTTGAGCAAAGAAGACTTCTTAATTTGACATTTCCTTTTAAAGTGTGGAAAATTATTTGGAAGCTTAATGAGTTTATATTCCTTTGATTTCTGCCATCTAATCACCTAAGAATATCCACATTTTTCCCCTAAGAGCAAGTAAGTACAAGCACTTCAGAATCTGCATCTAAATTTATGGCAGCTCAGGTTGACATTGAATGGTCTGAGACAACACAAAGTAATGACAAGATGTCTGCAAACCATTGCTTGGGTTTTAGCTTTTTACATTTTATTTATTTTTACTTTAGGGTAGTCCACCATTACAGCTCTGCTGAAGACTTCTCTTTCTAGCCAAGGTTCAAGAGAGCAAATAAACCACCAAAAGCTTTTTGATTTGAGTGATTCATTGCCTTTCTCAGCCTTCTCCTCGTACTCTCCTTTTTTTTCCATTTCAATTTTCATGCAGGCTGATTTCCTTTGGTTTTCCTTTGTGGTTAAACTAATAAGTAAAAACCTACATTGGTTTTGGCTTGTTTTGTAAGCAGAATCTCGTGCTTTCTTGAAAATCCCAGCCATCTACCACGTCTCTACTTGTCTGCCTCATCCAATAAGAATTGTTTCCTTCATAGATAATCTTTAAGATTGTAACGACATTTGGCTCTTTAAGCTTTTACAGACTGAAAAAGGGAGAGACCGCCAATTAATTACAGGTGCTTGTTTTACATAGTTCTCTGACATAGTGGAAGGAACTATAAATTGTTCTCTTCACTTGCTACAAATCCATGAGGGGGTTGTATTTTTCGCTGTTTTGTGCCGAGGTGAGTGGAGTATTTACACACCACTCAGCATTTTAAAGGAACATTTTTGTACCTTTTTCTTTAAGATTAAGGATAACTCCTTGTCAAACAGAGGAAGTCTTGTTGGAGAGGTGTTTGCTTTTAATAAACACTGACTTTAATATTTTTATATGCAGATGAATTGGAAGCTTAATTGATTGGGGTCCATACTTATGTTTTCTCAGTCTTTCAGGAACTTGAAAATGCACATTTTTTTTTATAAAATTTAAAGGCAACATTCTTTAATCTTTCTAAAAGCTAAAAGATGCCATGAGTAGCAAGTTTTTCGCTGTTTTGTGCCGAGGTGAGTGGAGTATTTACACACCACTCAGCATTTTAAAGGAACATTTTTGTACCTTTTTCTTTAAGATTAAGGATAACTCCTTGTCAAACAGAGGAAGTCTTGTTGGAGAGGTGTTTGCTTTTAATAAACACTGACTTTAATATTTTTATATGCAGATGAATTGGAAGCTTCATTGATTGGGGTCCATACTTATGTTGTCTCAGTCTGTCAGGAACTTGAAAATGCACATATTTTTTTATAAAATTTAAAAAGCTAAAAGATGCCATGAGTAGCAAGTTTTACATATTTTTTCACACTTGTAAATGGCAACTTTGTAGAAATTAAAACATAAATCACACCTCAAAATTTCAAAAGATTTTTTTGTTTGCTATTTTCGGATGTAGATTTTTTCGATATTTGTTATATTTAATGTATTAATATTATTTATTTCCCTTTCTCCTATAGAATCTGAGACATCCAGGCTCATTCCATCTGTCCCCTCCTCCGCCCCCGCTGCCAATTTAAATGACACTGGAGGGCTTGTTATCCATCAGAATATTTAAATAATATTATTATTCTATTTTTTCAGCATTTCATGAAATCTGAGACTGCTTTTTGACTTCTGCTGATTTACTAACCAAAATGGACTAAATGTCATATGTAAACCAATTTGTTCACCAGCAATAGATGCAATAAATATGGAGAACAACATATGAACACTTGTGGCCCTTTTTAGACCCTGAGTTCAATTCCTATTTTTCATAAAAGAATATCATACCCAGTCAAGCTGAAAATTATCTAAAACTAACAGAGTTTAGACGTAGTTACAGGTGTGATGGCTCTGCTGCCTATTCCCACTTCCTTGGGTGAACCTGGCTGTTCCACATGAAAACAAAATGACAGATGAACAGGATACTTCAAGCAACTTCAGAGAGGCCACCCCGATCTCCCTTCAAAGTAGTATCCCTTCAAGCAGTAGGAGCAATTTTCAGAATATTGGGTAGTGTGGAAAATACCTAAAAATCTACAACAAAAATTAGAAATCTCAATTCTTTTATTGTGGCTTGTGAAGAGGATATGGAGTGTTGAGTTTTTCTGTCATTAACCCGATTGCTCATCAAAGAGCACTTTTTATACTAGAGGACAATTTGATTTCCATCTTAGACGGTGCCCTTCAGCATTGTCTTTGATAATACTGATTTTTATTGCAACCCCAGAATCTCAGACTCTACCACCACCATGGTCAATAGGTAATGGAGTTCCTTTAGTGAGTGAAAAAGAATTATCTTTCTTTCACATTTTCTACCTTTAACTTTGTCCTTACCTTTGGCTTTTTAAAAATTTATTAATTATCCATCAGATCTTTCTTTCAGCCATTTTTGCCAGAAGATAAACATTCTGCCTAAACTTGACTAAGTAGAGGTCCCGAGACAGCAATGAAAGCCATACTGATTTTGATTAGACACATTATTTATTGTCCCTCCTTATATTTCAGGAATGTGTCCTGAACTTCTTTAACCTGGTAATTTCCAGTGGAGGATCATGGCTTCCCTAGGACATATTTGTACTTTCACTTTTGGAGGTGTTTTTCTTACTTTCAAACTCCAACATTTGTAGGTTTTCTCAAAAATATTATGGTCTTTCCAGATCTAAATATCCTGATATGTCACTAGAAAATTCATTAAAAGATATAGAAAAACTAACCTCAATCTTTATAGCATTTTTCCTGCAAGAAAGCAAAAAATGTGTGTCATCTGCTGGTGTCATCTTAGCCAATTACCCATATTTTCCTTTTTAACATCAACTGTTGGTTACTTTATTGCATTCACATCTTCCAAATAAGACTCATTACCATTTTCCTTCCACTTCTCTTTCCAAATTGAACTGACTGGCTACATTTTTGTTCATTTTGTCTAAAAACTCAGGAATCTATTTAAATAAAAATAGAATTTCTTATGTAGGTAAAAGTTTCACCATTTATATTTTCTCAACTTAATAATTAAAAATCAAGTGTTTTTCTTATTTAAATAAATTTCATCATTTTCCCTTTGATTTTGATTCCTTCTCAATGATTTTTTATGCAGTCCTAGAACCTGGAACACTGGGAACCAAACCTTCAATGACAACATTAGGTAATACAGTTATCGAGTGAGTGACCTTGGCTTCCCTTCTTCCTGACTGCTGGTATCTTTATTAACAGATTCACATTAATGGATTAATTCATTAATGTCCATTTGTGTGTGTGTGTCCTTTGTTCTACCAGAGAGAAATTTTAAATCCTATAGTTTTATAAACTATGTCTCATTTTTAAAAAGTTGCCTTCTATAATTTCTGTATTCAAATTCAAAGCCTTTTAACACATCTCATTGATTTGCAAATTTTGTTTAATGCTAAGTGAAAAACTTTTGCTTTCAAACCTTAGGCCAAATAAATTTTAATTTGTATCTGTAGTGGCTTTTTAAAAGTAACTTTTCTCATGTTCCTTTTGAACATGCACCTTTAAAATTTTTATGAGACTCTCTTCTCTAAACTATGCAAAGTTCTGGGTTTTCCATCTCAAAATGGAAGAAGAATAGTTCTCTTGAACTGTGAGTGTTTATAAATCTTCGACATAAAAAATTATTGAAGACCTTATTTAATTGGGTAAATAATGATAGAAAGTTGCAAAAAAGAAGAGTGCATATCCACAGTAAGTCAGAAGGCTAAGTGTGCTTCTAAGATATATGTAGTTTCGACTGTCAGTTTTTCGAGCTACTACTCTTGTATTAACTAGCTAATTTTCTTTCTTCAGCTCCACCAAAGACCAAACGACCAGGTCGCCGCCCCCGCCCTAAAACCACACCTAGTCCAGATGTGCCCAAGTCCAAACCTGGTAAATGTGATGTTCAAGGTTCTAATTAGCACAGAAAGGAGAATATGAAAGCTTCTGATATAGTAGCTACCTACTACCTGGAGCCAATATAATTGATTTTTATATTTGAGTATCTGTACTTTCCATATTTATGTTATATGAATATATATTTTTATTTGCAGGTACACACAGCAGTAAGCTTCCCACTAAGTGGACTATTAAAGTAGGGCACCCTAAAAAATCTTACATAGGGTGCATATTCATGGCAGATGGGTTGCGGAAAAGCAATAGGGAGAAGAGGGGTGAATGGGGAAAATAAAAGGGAAGATCACACCCTAAAAGAAAAGGACACAGCTTAAGTAAGGATTGAGGAGTAATGTTTCCTCCCTCAAGATGATGCCTCTTGATATAATGAGTGTTTTGGTATTTTGCTTCTATAGCTCTGGAACCTGCAACGGTACAGCCCGAGCTCTTGGTGCCCACAGTCGGTAATTCTACTCTCCTCCAGCTGCTTTCACGTTGTCACTTTTGCTTTTCCTACTCTCCTCCCAGGCATGAATGTAGCTGTACCACAATTTCGTTCTATGCTTCCACTCACGTTTCCTATCTGGGTCTGAAGAGCCTACAGATAGGAAATTTCTGGAAGAATCCTGTGTGCTTATTTAAGGGAGGTCTGTGGCCTTGGACACAACTTCCTGATTCTCCACAAACCCTCTGTCTTTTCCATCACATGTATCTTTGTGTTGAGAAAACCATCTACTCTTTCTCAGATAGGGACTTCTGTGCTCATCCTAGACTTGACAAATGGCAAAATTTTATTCCAGTGCCATGATTATCATTTCATTGCTTTATTCATTCAACTTGTAAGACTTTCTCTCTTTTAAAAAGCTGCATAAAATAATGGCTTCTTCAGCTTTCTTGTTTCTTTGAAGAATGTTTTTGAATATGTTTTGATAACTAGAAGCACAAATACTGTTCTTGGTCTAGGGTTCAATATAAAAGTACTATGGCCTTTGTAACTTGAGAACATTAAAAGTCTCAAGCTAGTTTTATTGGTTTTTGTACTAATGCTGTTTGATTATGATTATTTCATTATAAGTTCTCAGCATCCACAATAAATCTGTCACTCCTTTACTTTAGAAAACTCTAGAAATTAGTAGCCGTGTTACATTGAGTATAATTTCAAGTGTTATAGATTATTTTCCAGGTCTCCTACTAAGCAAGTTTCAATTTACTATTTTTATACTCTACATTACTATTTTTATACTTAAAAAAAAACTATCAATTAAGAAATAGACCTATTATACTTGTTACTTTTGAAGTATGTAGAAAAAAGTTTTATTATAGTTCTCATTACTTTTGCTCAAAATGCTCATCTTGAGTATTTCCTGAAAATTTTTCTTTTTGGAAAAATAAGTAGAAATGGCCATGTTTCCCACTCTTCCCATATTCTGGAGTTAATTGTGTTGTATATTCACTGAATTTATATATCTTTGTTCAAGCATACATGTCCTTAATCCTGACAGTTACAGCTATGACTATTATGCTAATTTTTAATACCATACCTTTTTCTTTAGCATTAAAACCATCCAAAAGACCTAAAACCACACATAGACCAAATATACTTCAAATCCAGCCTGGTATCACTACTTACAGTGCCTTGATCTATAACAAGGAAATGGTATATAAGTAACATTAATCTTGACATTCAGAGCTACCCTATGACACTAATTATAGCACCTTTTTTTCCTTCAGATTCAAAACCACCAAAGCAATTACTTCATAAACCCCAAACCACAGCAAAACCAGATATGCCACCAACTAAATCCAGTAAACATAATTTCCAGTGCCTTACTTTAAGAAGCATTGTCTTTGGGAATGTTGCTGAAAATGTTGACAATTTGTTACATAAAGCATAGATACCTGTACCGTGATTTTGTCCATTGTCTTCTCAAAATAGTCACACTGATGTTTTAATTGTTAAAAGGACAAATCACAGTGTGGGAAATTAGTAAATTTTATATCTATTAGTCTGACATATTTCATTTTCCTAAAAAATTTTTAGGCTTTGTTTTCTGAATTCGGGTTTGTAATGAGTAGAAGACTGGTTTTTCTCTATCTGGAATCTTTTTTGAACGTGATTTTAGCAGCCACCACTAGGCAGCACTCAGGAGGCTAACACTGTATTCTTTATAGGAACATAATCAGAGATTGGCATCTTCTAAAATACCTTATTGGCATTTTAGACAGTAGCTATTTACTAAGTGATTTCCTACCAAATAAGATATTTATACAACAGTTCTGAAAATTCAACTGTTTTGCAATTGAAATTTTCTCCTCAGGTTTCAATTAGTATAAAATTCAAGTTTAGTAAGAGAGAGCCTTTGATCAAATAAGCCTACCATGAAGGCAATTTATATTAATTCAGAATAAACCAGGTCTATTTCCCTTGAATTAAGCATCGGTGAGCACCTACAAGTTTATACTTTCTTTTAATATTTAACCTGTTTATTTTTTGTGATGCAGTCTTCGAGCCTGTTACATTTGAAACTGAAGCTCCCTCCATAACCATAGGTAATGATGGATGTCTTCCTTCCTGATCAGTGTTTCTCTCAGCTTCCTCTTCTCATCTCTATCATTATCTGTATTCTCTTGTGTAAACAATTATTCATCATCTCTTTTCATTCATTTCCAAAATTTGTTTACTGTTTTCAACAGGGCTTTTTTAACATTGTTAAGCATTCTTACATCTGCTGCTCAGTTTAAAATCTCTGAATGTTATTCTTTCTTTCATCACTTTCAGAGACGTTCAGATTGCTTGCAGCATTTGATGCTGTAGAGAGTCACATGTGCTCTCTTTATCCATCCTTCAAACCAGAAAATTTTTGAGATCTCTGATTTTATGTACATAATTTATGAATGTGAGATAGAAGCAATGAAAAAGTTAGCTGGGGCTCGAGACAATACATAATTGTCTTTTTCTTGAAAAATCTCTTCTTTTATTCCATACTGTCCAAACACAACTGAAATGAATGTCAATTTTTTGTTAACAAATTCGTCTTGTGACATTGAATTAGAAACAAAATAGGGATTCTCATTTCTCTGTTCGAAGGCAGTCAGCTCTGTGTATTGTTTTCATCCCATTTTCCTTGCTTTCTCCCTTTCTTCTGTACGCCATGTTTTCCATTAGTTCAGACCTTCCAGATGTGACTTAAATCATTTTGTGCTGTATGTCTTTGACAGTCAACAAAGGCAATCTCCATATGAGTTCTTTCAGGGTATTTGGTGATAAGATGTTTTAATGTTACATTTAATCCTCTGAATTTAATAAAACATAGAGACATTAATTATTTAAAACTAAAGAGTTATTAAATCTTAATTTCATATCTACACATAAGTCATTTCAGAATACTATAAAATTATAAAAATCCTGTTTATCTAGATAAAAATTTGAATTATTACTTTTCAGACTTTTTTCTTAATCATCTCTGTTCCTCATTTCAATAATTATCTCCTAATTATCTATGTGAAGTAAAGGAATAAATGAGAAGAAATAGTAGGAAAGAGTATCATATTATAGAGGAAAAGCACACATTCATCTTTTGCATGACTGTCACAGGTCTCCAATAAACAGACTGATTAAGAAGATATTTTAAAAATCTCACGACCACCATTCCTCACAACAAATATTAATAATGGTGGTAGAAGCCTTTCAAATACTAACAGAAGCTTTCATGATAATTTTTCAGAGTAATTTAAAATATATGTCAGTCAACTAAGATTTTTTGGAGCCAACTTTCCAATATAGTTGGAATCAAATAATTAAACAGAAAAAAAGTTTTTCATTGGCCTCATAGGGATGCACAGTGCAAAGAGTATGGCTGTTTTTATGAGATAATGGATACCGGAGTACAGCCGGTATTACAGAGCAAACACTATTTTTCCAGAGTTCAGAAATGCTTTTTAAACATTACAGTGTTAAGAAGTTCATTTTCAAGATACATTTTTTCATTTTCTATGTTTGTGCTTACTGTATTGCTTTTTGTCAGTTTCTGCCACAGACATTGAACCTGTAACTTTGAGAACTGAGGCTTCCCGAACATTAGGTAATAACCTTTTTATGTCTTTAAGCAAATGTGTTTTCTGCTCATTGTCCAGTCTATTCCATTATTCTCTTGGTCAAGAGCTTTTCTCTAAGACTTTCCTCATCAACCTCTCTTGTCACTCAACTAGATTCTTCATTTTGAATATAATGAAGATGTCTAAAACAAGTTAATTGGTTAGAATATAAGCCTGTTTACAGCTAGTGCAGAACATCTATCTTCAATACTATCTAGCTTTATTAATGCTCTGCAGAGCCTGTGATTGTGTTTAGTGTTCTGTGGTAAAGCTGAATTTCAAACACAATTAGGAGTGTCTGCCCCCATATCATTATTTATAATGCTGTGGGCATCAACAGGAAGTTGTTTTAAGATATGCAGAGCATTTTTATTGCCTACCAAGGATTTGAAGAAATGAACTGTGCTTATTCTAATAATATTTAAGAGGATGTATGCCTAAGTGAAGTAATTTCTAAGTGCAGTCTCCCAAAAGTAGGTGATCCTGGGTCTCTCTCTAAGATGACATGGACATGCTGTGCTTCTGACTTCTGTTGGGTCAGGATCATCTTTGAAATCTGACACTACCAAGAATAACAATGTTTTAAGATTATCAAAATAACATTATATAGTCTCTCTCTAAAGAACTGTCATTGGACCCCTCAAAACTTTTTTTTACATAGAGATGACAAAATTTTGAACTTAAGAGATAAATTTCTCAAAAAAATCTAACAAAAATTTTAGAAAACCTAGAGCCACGTATAATCCTTTTTTTAGTTTCTGGAGTAATAAGTTGACATTAACCAGTTTCCTTTCTTCAGCTTCAACAACATCAGAACAACCAAGAACACGTCATCCACGTCCCAAACCTTCGAAACGTCCCAAACGTCCCAAACACAAAACTACGCCAAGTCCAGAGGCACCTCAGATTGAATTAGGTAAATATGTGGTTCCTGGTGCCTGTGGAACCCCATCAGATGTGATACTGAGGTGGCAGTTTAACTTGCCACCTAATAACCCCTGTGACTTTTAAGGGTGGAGCACCAGGTCACAAGTGCTCTAGTCAATACCTGTGACTTTCTCATGCAGCTTGGTATATTTTTGGTACCTGTGTATTTTATCTGCTTCTCTAACAATTGAATAACATTTTTCTCTTTGAATCTGGCTCAGCAAAAACTTATCTAGTTAAGTATCTACCATATTTAGTTCAATTTAATAACACATTTTATTAGCTTAGTTGAGGAAGGAAGCTGCTCCTGTGTGAAACTATTCATAAATAGATATAAAGGAATATGGGCCAAAGCAACATATTGAGTTTTATCTGCTATTAGGCACATAGTTAATTCTTAGAGAAGGAAAAGATCAATGGGCTGATAAGTATAATGTGAACCTTAAAATTTGTATAGTTTGTAGATTTGTTGGAAGGATGGGCATAAACGGAGACAGGAAGGTGCCATATGTGTGAGTGATGTCAGAAGGATAGGAATTAGAAGTGCAACCTGATTGTGAGAAAGAGAAAGGCAGTGTTTATTTAGCTGGAGCTCAAAAATTTTGCTCAGCGATGTTACCATTAGATGGGTCCATGAAGAAGACCTTAAATGCCTAACTTCAGTGATTGGATTTAGGAGAGTATGCTTTAGCAAATTAGCTAAAGCATACTCTCCTAACCTCCCAGGCTCAGGCCTTTTCTATTCTGATAACAAAGATGCAATGACAAGTTTTGCGACTAAAGGATCCTCTGTATCTTTTTTATATGCCTTTATTTGAACAGAGGTCTTGGTCTTTTTCCAAAGTGGACTCTCAACAAAAAAGAGCATTATCTATTTTGGTTATTCATTACAGTGTCTGCTTAAATATAAATAAATCTCCTTAAATATATATAAATCTATCATGACCTAGAGCTTTGTTTTCCAACATGTGGTGTTATAAACTACATTTTTTCTCATATATAGTTTCTTTCACATTATTTTCTCATCATTGTTAGCCACAGTGTTATTAGATACCTAAAGATTTTTCTAAGTATGGTTTTCTATTGTATTATCAAATAATACAAAAACAAGCAAAACTTACAATTAACCATGCGGAGATACTAAGGATATAACCATTTCATAAGAATGTTTGTACCATCACCTCAGAACTTTAAAATTTTTGCTTTTTGGCTGTAGAACCAATGCTACACTGGTAAAGTTCATTTTCGAGAGATTTTAATGACTTTTCTCATGTGTTAACATTTCTAGTTTTAATTACTTTTGATCATTTCTTGCTACAGACTTCAAACATTAATCCTGAGACATCTTCGGGTAATGATTCTTTATGTCCTTCAGCAAGTGCTTATTCCTATTCATGATCAGATTTATCTATGGTGCTATATAAATGACAATGTCATAATTTGTCATCTTATTGCGGTATTCATCTTCACATATAAAAGGCTTTCTTTCTAACACAAATGTGTAAAGATTTAATTCAAGAATATGTTCCATATCTCAACTTGAAATTGCATCATGTGAGCTGAGTCTCTGTTTGAACAGTACTGTTTGTTAGAGCTGAGGTCTAACAAATCTGTGATCATATATCCCTTATTTAGACCAATACAGTATCAATTATGGTACCATGGTTTCTTAAAGAATCTCACTTTCTATATAGCAAGTCCTACATAACTTTTTTTACTTTGTTGATATTTCACAAATTTTGTATACTATATTCTAGTAAATAACCAAGTGTAAAATTTGCCTAAGCCTACTCATTTGAAATTGTAAGTGAATACTATAGGGCGATTTGAAATTCTCTCACACCATCATAGTTTTAGCAGTGATCGTAACCAGTTTTGGATTGGGGACACTTTCAAGAAAATCGGAGTTTCTCATCTTCATTTCTTAAACAGAATTTTAATCTCTGGAGAACTCTTAATTATAAAAGAAAACCTACTAGTATACTAAGGGAGAAAATTCCAAACCAAAGTAACAAAGTTCTCACTACTCAAACTCTGACAGATATTAGAAAATAGAGCCATGTTATATCATCCTATTCAATTTATAGAGCCATCAGAATTATATTAATACTAAATTTTTTTCCTTCAGCTCCAACAACAACAAAGAGACCCCGTCGTCCACGTCCCAAATCTAAAACCACACCCCATCCAGAAGTGCCTCAGACCATACTGGGTAAATATGCAGTTTCTGGTTTAAGGAATCCAAGCAGTCTACTCCAATAGAAACCCTAAATTCTATGCACATAATTGGTACACACCCTGTATATCTCTTAAGAATATAAGCTATTAGTTAGGAGAACAGATATCTGAGTACCTTGTGCTTCCTCTGTGGGAATCTTCTCCATCAACGATCATTTTATTTACTTATTGTTAGATTCCATTCATGTCTTAAAGATAAAGCTTGCTCAGTAAAGTAGTGAGCCTACACAATCAAGTCAACTTTTTTTTAATCCCTTCGGAATACCCATAATATTTCATGCATTCAGAAAAATCTCTTTGGTTTCTTTTATTACCTTTGATCAGTTCCTGCCACAATCTTTGAACCAGTTATTATTAAAACTGAGGCTCCAGGACCAACACTAGGTAATGACACATTATGCTTGTCTGCATCTGCTTTTCCTGCCCATTTCAGACCCATTTCATCACTATCACAACCACAGCTTCTCCCACTTCACAGGACTTTGGTGTCATCTTCTATTGTTATTCAATTACTTGTGAATATATTGAAGAGTATTAAAATAACTAATTTTTTAAGAGAGCCAAGTATAACAAGTACAATCCTATACACAGCTTCTGGAACTAAAAAACTCTCTATTAAACAGTTTTCTTCCTTTAGCTTCTAACATCCCTGAACAAATTCATCATCCCTGTCTCAAACCTAAAAACACACCGAGTCCTGAAGCACCTCAGACCAAACTGGGTAAATTTGTAGATCCTGGATAAGGAATTGTGGCAGCTCATCCTAGTGGGGTCCAGCTCATCCAGGGTCAGTGGCTGCTTCCACTCCAGAGTAGGCATGAGAACACAGCTGGAGAGGCCTTAGGTGACAGCTGAATTCCTTATACTTTGTAATTGGAATCTTCTCTCTAAATGTCTATTTAATTAACTTCTTATTTGATTCTACTATCCTTTAAATATTGAATGTACATAGTGCTGAGACAACTACAGAACAAACATATGTTTGGGCAAATTGGAAATTATTTCTTGGTAATTATAAAAGTTGTGTAAATCATAGGCCAGAGTTGGTAAACATTTTCTATAAAGGGCTAGATAGTAAATATTTGAGGCTTCGTGGGCCATATAATCTCTGTTGCATATTTTTCCTATTATTTTATTTATCTATCTATCTTTTTTTTATTTTATTTATTTACTATCTAATTTATTTATTTATTTATTAGTTTTTAC